TTTCTTAAATTTTTTCAATTCAATGGTGCAATTTTGTTGCTCAGCAAACAAGTATAACCTGTGGGACACTACAGGGTTAAAACACACATTAATGTTACAATAAACTTACTTATTTAGGAAGTTACTCTTTTTAAAGTAACTGAATATGGTAGCAGAAGAGTAAAATCAACACTCATAATAACTCTTTAAAATCCTCAATATACACAGTCTACAGACAAACCTGCATGCACAACTTTTCATAACACAAGAGCATTAACTGCTTCCTTGGTTATCCTGAGCATACTCGGGCCAAGAAGTCTCGTATCAAGTTTACTCGGGTGAAAGACTTTCAGGGTACAAACAAAGCAAATTAACACAGTATAACAATAATTTACAAGATCACCAATAGATGGCAGCACCAGTATTTTTGTAGTTTGCTTCTGATAAGAAAAGGAGATGCTAATGGGAAGAGAATCTGAAGTAAAAGCAAGTATTTTTATCCCAACTGTAACGTGTCACTCTTTGTCACACCTTACTTCCAAATCTACTGTATGACAACAGATATCTAGACTTTATATATTTATCCCACAGTTTGTCTTTTTATTTATTTTTTATAGTCATGTAATTACGTTCTGCAAGTATTGGTTATTTCATACAAATAAACCTAGATATACTTTTCTTATATTTCATGAGATATCTTTGGCTTTATTATACAAATTTTTTTCATATAATAAAATTGATAAACTAGTGCAAAGTATTTCATGTTTCACTTTGCCTATATGCATACTTTAAAACAAAAAAATGAAATAAAAAATATGTTTTTTTGGAACTTACTTAGGGGAATAAAAAGGGTAAGGGGAGTAGTTGATTTGAAGGTGCAAGATTTCAACATAAACACAATTCAGTCACAGGTAGGAATAAACAAAGCTGAACAAAACTGAAAATTCCATATTTTTTGCTGAATTTTTGTAGTCAACTTTGATTGCACAACACCCGTTTAATCTCTTGGATACTGGTGGGTCGAACTACCTATTATGACTTCTTTCCTTTTTTTATACAGCTACATTCAAAATTTAATTAAACTACTTTATTATCAATGTGTGTCAATAAGCTTGACATCCAAAAATAGTTTGTAGTTCAGATTTTTATATTATCTAAGTTTTAATTTCTTAATTTCGAAAGAAAATATTCAAATAAATTTTCAATCTTCAACTCTGTGTCATGTAATGGTTCTAAGCACTCTGATTTCCCTGTTATCCATATCCAAACTATAGACATCGACAACTCGTAATATAAAACTTGAAGATATGTCTATAATTCTCTTTTTTGACATATCCAAACTATAGACATTGACAACTCGTAATATAAAACTTGAAGATATGTCTATAATTCTCTTTTTTGACATATCCAAACTATAGACATTGACAACTCGTAATATAAAACTTGAAGATATGTCTATAATTCTCTTTTT